AAAAAGAATATTACTCAAGTCTATCTGTAATTTAATAATATATTAGTATCGAGCTATTTTCGCAGTCGCGAAATATGATAATTTCTTCCATATAAAGTTTTTAATAATTGTTTGATAAAATTTAAGTTTGTTCAATAACTCATTTCCTAAATGATTTCCTAATGATAAAAAAATGATTCAAAGATTATAAAATTGAAAGCGAAATTGACATTAAATAATGTATATAGTTGCATAAAATAACGAAATTTAAAAATGATAATTTACAAATTATAATAATTGGTTTGGCGTTTATTCACAAATCATTTGACATTTTGACGGTCAGATCAAAGTATTCATTTTTTTATTTTTGTCGCAAATAAAGGACTCTATAATTTAACACAAGAAAATATTTCTATTTATTTTTATTGACTTTTAGAAAGGCTAATTGAAATCTAAAATATATAAAGAGATTCAAGTTAATTGTTAATTCAGATCATTTTGACAAATTTTAAGAAAAAAAAGTTAAACTATTTTTTAGTACAACGGCTGAACTAATTTATAACTTAATGCGGCTTATTATGTTATTTACATTTAAAGATATTCATTATACGTATATTAAAATTGTTAACTTCAAATATTTTTTCTTACTACAGTATTATTTTTAAGGAATGATTGTAAACTTAGAAACAATATAATACACTAATTTCGCTCATTTTGTGCTTATTCATTTTGAAAATACTTACACTTAAAACTAAATTTTTATGTTATGTATAATTGTTCATTGGGAATCATTTTAGTAGAAATTTTAATAATGTGTATTTTATTTCTTGATCTTTTTACAGTAATATAGTTATTGATAAACAGTCAATTATAATTTATGACTTACCTCAACTATCAATTAAAAAATATAATAATCGCGGTTTATCGTGTCGTATATATGTAGTCGTAATGCAATTTTATCAGTGCCTAAGTATTTTCAATAACAAGTGTTATCGATTGCTAATGTTATTTAAATCAGAATATAAACGTTACGTTTAAGATTACTTTCGATTACATTTTTATCATATTAGCTCTTCAGGATAAAATTCCACGAGCTTTTATGAAATTGAATTTCTTATATGCAATATTTCTGTTTTCTAATATGTAAACAGTATGCGAGTTGAGCGTTATATACCTTGCCAACGCAATGATATGAAAATATTTAATAACGGTTTGTGTGTTTAATAAATTGTTCGCAACGAAATTCTGTAATGCTATTGTTTTTAATATTTTGTTATAACAAGCATCGTAACATGCTTAATCTTTGTTTAATAAATTAGAACGATAATGATTATATTTATGATTTCTACGAATTAGTGCTTTAAAAAGAGTGCTCTGCAGCACTGTAGCGCGTCTTTTCCTTCGAGTGATAAGTGGCACTTTCCCATCTCGAATTATTTTTTTACGCAATGTAAGTTAATATGATCACTAACAATACCTTATTGACAAATACCTAATTTTTTACATAATTTAACACATTTGAAACATCCTACCGCATTTAGAAAATTTAATCAACATTGGATTCATAAAATACTGGTATGTAAAAATGTTTTCATTTTCGAGTTAAAAAGGCGATCAAAATAAACTGTCTAATTTATAAATAAATTCGATTTATTTTACTGTTTATTATTATTATTATTAGTTTAGATTATTATTATTTTACTGTTCGAAAATAGTTACCATTAATTAGTTGCAATCTCGCCAATCGTTTAAAATATATAATTTTTGCTTTACTTTTTAGTATTGAATATTTCTCTTCAATATATGTAATTCTGAATTATATAATTATTTTGGCTTTGATTTATATCATTTCGGCATTTTAAAACGAACAAGAGCAGCATCGGTCACATCACCTTTGCTATCTAGTTTTATTTCAATAGCTTTTGTCAAATTGCCAGATTTTTCACTATTCGTAGCGTAGTTCTGTAGTTAATTATTTTTGGCTGTTTACTTTTATTGTGTATTTATTCCGACTGCATACTATGACCAAGCACTTGAGTTCACTCAAAATTTAAGCCTATGATTAGTTAATTTTATGATTTATTATTTTGATTTAATTAACGCCAATTGGCTATATAGTTAATAGCTCAGTGAATTAACAATAATCCGTAAAACAATATAACATATTGGAACACATAAGGACATACACACATAGATATCTATGCATAAATATACATTTCTGCATATACATACTTGTTTATATTATTATTTTTGCACTAAGATTTAGAATGTTTTTCATTCTTAATACTTCAATAATAAAAGTTCGACATAAATCCATTTTGAAACAGTCTTCTAGGCTCTAGCAGTATGTTATTAATAATAATTAAAATGTAATTGACAATCGTCTAGCATGCTTGATTCTTAATTCTTAATATTATTGCAAAGTGTATGATATTTTACATGAATGGCCATTAAAAGTTTCCAAAGATGGTTTTGGGGAAAGAATAACGCGGTCTATAATTATCATATTGCGAAAGTTTTTGTGCATTTTTTCTACAGTCTGATTCAATTTATGATTAGGAGGTGCACTCAGCACAGATACTCAAAAACCGAAATTGAATTGCTATTTGTAGGCTTCGTATTGAAAGAGAATTGTTGGATTGGGTATTTTAAAACCCTTTATGTTACGTCTTCACTTAACAATAATTAACTGGCCGCTTACTTGTATCTATCAAGTCCAGAAATCAGAGCCCTGATTTACATTCAATTACCACTTTCAGTTTGTAGTGGGACTATCTGCATGTAGTTTATTACTACTTACAAAATTGAACAATATTTTTATTCCGCATCTTGGACGCTTTTTTTCTTCATTAACTTGTATCTATCATTACACACACCTTTGTCTCGATACTCGACCTCTCAATACTACTTTTTTTTTTCTTTTATATCTTTTTAACAGCAATCAGAACCTTACGTCCTATGAGCTGTTGGGCTGAAACTTCTCCTTACTTCGTATTTTTAGATGGTAACCCAATGGTTAATCCATCCATATTTGATGATTTTTGTTATTAGAATTAATCTAATAGGGCTGACTTTTTATTGGTGCAGCAATGCCGGGCAAGGGCTATTTTTACTTGGAAACATATTGCTATCTATATTTCCAAGTGAAAATCGTTGTCACTGCTGCCTGACAATAGGCTGCTCGAAGTGGTTATCGAACCCGGGACCTCTGAAACAAGCCCCGTCGCTCTTAACCGCTTACCTACGGGCGAGCCCTCAATACTACTTTGATCTTCTGTTGTTCTTTTGAATACTGTTCCCCAGCTTCTCGGGGTTGGCGCCCACAGGCATGTGATGATGACTGGTGTTCATGTATGTAAAGTGTCACACATTCGTAACATTTTACCGCTTCCCTTAAAGATCTCTTTCGATCTTTCGCATTTCTACCACAAGCGCCTGTAGCCCTAAATATTGGTAACTTAGATGATGATTTGCTCAAACATTTATTTTAAGGGTTTTGCGGCATTTCGTGATGTTGCCCAATTTGCGGTCCGCATCTGATTCCTTTCTTCAATTTCCACTCCTGCAAAAGTCTAATTCAGCCACGGAAGGTCCAGATATAGTACGGACACAAAATGTATTTTTTTACAGCACTCTTACAAAGGCACAATACAAACGTATTTAGGAATACACAACAAGTATTTTAGTTTACAAAAAAATGTCTAAACCCCGCATTAAATGTTGCTTACATGTTTTATTTTAATTTTAATTACAATCCATTTATATAATACGTAAACATTCAATATTTGTTTTGTTAACTTTACTATTGCGATATTTAGATATTATCAAACCGTTTAACTTAGATTTATTAATTTGTAATAAGAATAGCTATAGAGTAATATATGAATTTTTAGTTAGATCAAAACTTAAAATATAAATATGTATATTTAAAATTATGTAGAAAATATTTGAGTTAAAATGTATTGTAAATGGCTAATTGTATAATAAGAGGAAGCCAATAAAATCATATAAAAAAAAAAACTGTTGCGATTAGAAGGTGACCCAGTAGTTGTCCTTTCTAGTTGTGATATATTTTTAACATACTTAATTAATATTTTGAACTTGGTCATTTTTGCAGGTTATTATCCACTTGATATTATATTTGTGATCTATAACATAACTAGTGGGGTGGGTGGCATCGTGCCTTAAGGCAAATTGCTGGTACTTCCCGTACCGTAACGAAATGTTCGAGGAATACTGAATGTTTTCAAATAGATTATTATAAATATTGTAACATTGTCTAATATTTATAAGAATTATATAAACTGAATTGCAAAGTTGAAATTATTTAAGTTATATTAGAACTATAGTCAGAATAAAAATAAAATTTGAATTATTTTAGATATACAAAAAAAAAATATACAAATTTTTTTTTCCGAAATCAATTATTTTGTTAAGGCAAGCAGAAAGTTCTTTGAATCATTTAAATCGGACGCTTATTTCTCTCAAAAACTGCCATTTTTTACATATTTAGCTCCGTATCTTTGAAATGGCTGGGCCTGCCTTTGCCAAAAACTAATACACACTTCTCCCAATCATTACTAATTGAATGTTTTTTAGATCATTCAAATCGGATACTCCGTTCTCTCAAAAAGTCGATTTCTATTTTCTGCACTCTTTGCTCCGTATCTCCGAAACGACTGGACCTGCCTTCGCCAAAAACTAATCAGCTCTTTTCCCTATCGATAGAAATCGAATGTTTTTTGAACCATTCAAATCGGTTGATCCGTGCGCCCGAAAACGTGACTAGAAATTTGTATCCATACATACATACACACACACACACATCCATTTTTTCTGAGGTATGCCAAAACGTTCAGAAACCTTCAAAACGTCGAGAAATGTAAAAATTTTCAATTTCGATTTTCGGCCCATTACAATAACTTACCCTACGGGAAGTTAATAAGTGAAAATCGAGTATTAGTACTAATAGTCAATACTTTTTGTTTGTTCTATTTATAACTCCTTATTTCTTGTTGCAGAAAAATTGCCGATACCAAGTTGACGCAGCAGGGTGTCATTTTGGCATTGAAGAAGTAGGCGTTCGCCCTGCATCCACCTCAATTTGAATTGAAGCAATTTGATACGCGTGCGAAAAAAATAATTCAAAATGACGTCAAGCAACAACACAACGGGCCAAGAAAATGCGGGGACAGGAGCTAACACCAAGAAAGGCCACAGGTTAGCGTGCATGTCTGCATTTATATATAGATTATGGTGCATAGAACAAACATAAATTTCATGTTTGCTACGAGTTACATCTCGTTTCTGGCGATTTGATTGATATTTGTAAACTGTTCTATGAAAGGAGATTGATGATTGACACTTGTATTTAAAGAAAGCGTCTAGATGTTTTGATACTGCGTTTGATCGATATTATTAGTAATAATATTTAAAATTTGACGATATTTCATACATAATTTTGATTCGTATTCTGATAAGCATAAATTTGTTAAGAAACTTTGATTTGTTTTATAATAAACTTAAATTGTTATTCACATATTGTTTAAATATTCGCATATAGCCAGTGATAATCATTTAAACGGTAACAATCATTTAAATCTGTGGATTGTTTTTGCAATTCATATAGCGGCTAAGAAAACAACGCGATTATCAATTGATATGAATAGAAGAGCTTTGTAATATAAATTCATAATATCCGTTCAAAATACGCAAAGAAATTATATACGAAAACTAAAATATTTGCCCGTCTTGATTTTTATTAAATAAAAACCAGGGGATTAAATTATTCGGCAGGGGGACACCACAGTAGTTTCGTGCGCGAACTCGTGGTGAACAGCCGCCGACACCACATTGGTAAGCACAGTATCGTTCTGTTCTTTGTTAAAAAAATTACGTTCAACAAGTTTTTTAGTTTTGTAAGTACTTCTACTCTTTCGTTGGCCAAGGACGAGTGGACGGTTAAATTTTAAAATTTACAATCTGTCGAAAATTACGAAATACGGAACTTACGAGATCTAACGATTAGTACAACTTAAAAATTTACGATCTTCCGATAATGTCCAGAAGGGTCGAGGACAAGCCAAGTAATACGAATTAGCAGTACCGGCGATTAAATTTTTACGAGACGTGCGGTCGCCAAAGTGTTAAAAAGCGAAATTAGTTGTTAGTGTTTGCCCTTTTTCGTAAGCCCATTTGATACTAGTTGTTGAAGTTGTCTTAATTTTATTTGTATTTTTAGAATATTGCAGCATCATTAGTTTTCAATATTTTATGAATCAGTTTGTATAATAATTTTATATTTATAGAATATAGCTGTTTTGGTAAATTATATATTGATCGATACCTACATTTTTACTAATACTTCTATGATCATAAAAAATCAATATAAATTAATGTTAATTACACGCTTTTATTTGATAATAGCAGTCTGCCAGAAGGCAGGTCTATGGTGTGAGAGCATCACAAATTGATGATTCCTTTTCCATTCCTTGCTTATTATTCCCATTACCTTTAAACACTTTTTATACATATTTATGCATTTTTCTTTACTTATTTCTGCTTTCATGCTTTCTAGTCATGTGCTTTGGTTTTCAGTTCTCTTTATCTTCTTTCTCTCGTAAGTCATCAAGCGTTTGCATTTTTCTTCTTACCATTCCTTTCAGTTCCTCTATTTTACTTTCGAATGCGTCCTGTAGGAGGCACTATTTTTGCAAAACGGGTCTGATCCTGTTTCCTTTCCTTTTCAGGATCGTGCTTTAGAGTCCTTTCTTAGCTCACTCTTTCTCATTTCAAATCTTCTCAATTTGTATCCAGCATCAAACTCTATATATAGTTTTGGTCGGCCTTTCTTAGAGTACATGTCTCTGATTCTAAGAGCTATGCTCCAGACATAGCACTTTATAGTCTCTTCTGCAAGTCGAGACCCAGCTTGCTCTTATTTGTAAATGCGCTTGACGCTTGCAATTCTTACCATGATCTTCCTCTCGTGCAGTATCCGTCTCTGGTCAGGATGCTTCCCAAAAATTTGAAGTGATCCTCGTCTTCCAATTGTCGATTTCCTACCTAATATATATATATATATATATATATATATGTGTGTGTGTGTGTATTAGAGATGACGGAGTTATCACCCCGATACAACTCCTCCATCGGAGTGAATCCGAGTGGATTTGTCTCACCGGATTTGTCATATCTAACTTCCCTAAACTGGTACTAAATCTGTTACTGCGTTTTTGCTTTGGGAAGGAAGCTGTTGCTTTCTCGTCTCACAGGCAGTTTAATGACCTTCTAGGTATACGGGTTTTTCCAGAAAATACAAAAATATTACTTCAAAGATACAGAACAATGAAATTGTGTTCAAATATGAAAAGCTCCAATGTATAATTTATTGAATAGTAAGGGGTCATATTTCCAACTACGACAATCTTTAGCCGTAAATGACGGCAATCAGGAATATACATACCGAAAAATACACGAAACAAAATGCATTTAATCTGGTTTTTCCATAGCCTGAAATAACAATAATTTAGAGTGCAAAATATATTAGTGACGTCAATAGTATTTAAGCAGCAAAAAATATATAGTATATTACTTTATACAATATAGTAATAATATGCTAATAGAACTACCCGATATAATATTAATTCTCGAATGGAAATAGCAGAAGAAAAAATTAGAAACCAGAAGTATTATTATTTGGTGAAAATATTTAATGATGTTTTGCTTTTATTAGAAAGTTTACTACATTATTTTTATATAAAATTAACTCAAAAAATCAATTATTTTCTCATCAAAAGAAAATAATTGCATTGAATTTGATTCTCAAGTTTTGCGTTTTTACTTTGGTCAACACTGTTAAAATTACGAGTTATGGAGTCGATCATGTGGTCGACCGAAAAATTTTACAACTCGTTATTTATTTATGAATTTTTTAGAAAAATTATTTTGATATTTTTTAATTTTCTTTTATTCATAAATTTTCATTTCAAAAAATTAAATGGGATTTGACAAATCCTTAGATGCATAAACAACGCACTATAGAACACATTTGTGTCGAGTATTTCGGTTTCAAAGTTGTCGGAGTCGTGGAGTTGTTAAGCGGATATAACTCCTCCCTGAAGCGGTGTCAAATCCGAGTCTATACGGCTTCGGATATGATAAGCCCATCTGTAGTGTGTATGTATGTATATGTATGCACAAGCCCTTGTGTGTAATTATAACCTTTTTATTCTAATAATTAATATATGGTCATGAATAATGATTGATTATGAGATTTGACTAACAAAGTAACTTCTGTAATTCAGTGGAATGTATATACCATTCAGCAGACTTTAAATGTAATATTAAACCACATTTTGAATCTTAATAATTTTTTAATTTTCTTCATTATTACAGAAGGCAAGAATCAATGTATGCTATGACTGGCCTGTACTCCTCGGATGCTGGCGACTCGGAATCCGGTGGGGAAGGCAGTTGTTCTGCGCAAAACGGCGACGTAGGCCAGCAAGGTGATGAATTAGGTAATCAAATGACGGCGACTGCCACGAATAATGTGTTGGCATCCGCGATCAAATGCCATAGTCGCCAACCATCGGCGAGTATGGTTGCCCAAGTAGCCGCGAGGGAGAAGGAGAAGTCGCCAAGGACTTTGTTAGTGACGGCCCCTGACGATACCAGGGATTGTGGCATACTAACGTGCAGGCCGGCTGTGATTCAGAGATTTGCGGCGGTTAAGGTGAGATCTATGTTTTACTTATAATTAGTTCACAATGTTTCTTTATAGAATGTTTATTAATGAGTTCAACTTTCCTTCTTTTTGAGATACTGTCTAATACTGAATGTATGTGCGATGGTTTTCACTTTTTAATAACTGAAACGTTTTCTTATTTTTTTTTATTTTTTTTTGAATTACACATCAATGACTATCTAAATCAAACACCTATTTACGTCTAGTAACATGTATTTTTCTATTTTTGCTCATTGCATTTAAGATGCCATCATAATAAAATTTTCGAATTCTTTTTTTTGCCTTCAAATCTGATATATTGGAAAACGACATCCTTCGCACACCCATAAATTATATATATATATATATATATATATATATATATATATATATATATATATACATATATACGCTAATCTCGATATCAATATCAATTTGTACTTATATTATGCATAAAAACAATTAAAGCAAACTATACAAAAGAGCATTTTTGAAGTATTACAAAATGTCAATTATTTTTAGTCATTATGCACATACGTGATTTTGTAACAACGAAATGTAAATGTATTTATTGTTCAACATAGGTCATTATTGACATGAAGCGTAATTGCAAAATAGTAAGTTCAACAATAACTTTTTAATACCAATTATTAATAACCTTGACTTACCATTACATTCAGGTACATATAGAGAGCAATAAGTTTTGGAATATGATACTTGCACAATCAATGAGATAAATATTTGTGTCATACCTTTCAGTAAAAGTTCGATGCCAATATGACATGCATAAAATAATTGAATATGAAAAATAAACAAATATGCTTGCTACTATTTGATTGAATAAAAATCTATGTCTTGCTAGATGCTTGCTAGTCGCTATGCCACTTTTTGAATTTGTTCGAGTTCTTTTTTGTTTTTTTTATTTATTTTTTTGATAATGTCAATTAGCTTAGAAATTATAAATGCGGCCTATATTTGAAAAAATTTATTGCCCGCGCATATCTATCTGTAAGTTTTCGAGCTTTTTAAAGTTTTTGAAACGAATCTATCAACGCGATAAGGACATTGAGAAAGAACAGGATGATACGAACCAAAATGAAAAATTTGGCATTTGTAGCTTTTGCAAAATTCCTGATTCCATTCATAGTTGGTTTCAACGCAGGATAATGTGGGTAAATGCCTAATTCAAAAATGAAACTGCTTTTAAAAACGTATTGTTTTTTAACTTCGGCGCCAAGTTATTCGAGTACAATATATTGTTTTTGCGTAAATTTGATTTTTTTATAAAAATGTTTTTGTATATTAAGTAGGTATATTCGCCAAATGCTACTAAATGTTAAATAAATAAACTTTACACATTAAAAATTACTTAATTTAAAATATTCAGAAAATTATATTTTACATCAACAGTATTTTTACGTTGTTTTTAGTTTTCATACATTTTATTTTCTGCAGGTCTTCGTATTTCTGCTGTCTTTCCTGGTAACACTACAGCAGGCATTGAGTTCAGGTTATATAAATTCCGTTATTACGACGATCGAAAAACGTTTCGAGATACCGTCCAGTCTGTCTGGTCTGATAGCGTCCAGCTATGAGATCGGGAACGTCATTACTGTGATATTCGTCAGTTATCTGGGCAGCAGGAGACATATTCCGGTCTGGATAGCCATTGGTGCCGTCATTATGGGGCTTGGTTCCTTGGTGTTTATGGTTCCACATTTTATTGGTAAGTCGCAGAATCGATAAGTATTTTAGGTTTGATTCAAATTATCTAGGTGATATCTTTATATTTTGCTCATCGAGTTATATTGCAATTTGAGTGATGGACTGTTGCGTCGATTGAAAATATCTTGATAAATTTCAGTTTCACTCTTATTAATTAATTTAACAAGTTTAATTTAATACAAAAATTGAATAATATTAGTTTGTTTGACTCCGTATATGTTGTCGATGGTACTTGTATGTTCCTTCTAAAAACGTATTATGCACTTGTGCTGACACCTGACATGTGATTCGTAACGATAGTAATTTAGGTTGCCAAGTAAAAAATATTTTCATATCATGAATATCAGTGGTGTTTTATCTTATAACTTACATTATAATGTCAAACCTTTTGTGCTTAATATAGTTGTTTAATTAAATGTAATATTTATTTTATTGCATTCAATGTAATTTTTTTTCTTTCAGGTGAGCCAAATCAAGGAATATCGTCGCCCAATGCTAGCGACGATAACATCTGCAAAGGGGTGCCTGTTCGAGAGCAAGACATGGGATTAGGTCGCTTGAGTTCGGGCCTTTCTAATCCGCCACTGGCACCTCACAACACATTGAGAGAAGAGAATTGCATTCGGGGCTCTCCTAGTACAACGGCTCCTGTATTATTATTCGTAGTTGCACAATTACTATTAGGTTGTGGCGGTTCGCCTCTATTCACTCTAGGCACGACTTATGTGGATGATCACGTGAAACCAGAAAGCGCCAGCATCTACATTGGTGAGTTTCATTATATTCTTATTCAACTCTATATACCAGCCTCAAGTCAAGTTTTCATTGATATCTTTTTTAACTCGATTTATTTTGTAACTGATTTTTTTTATTGTCGAAAGTTCATAAAGTATAGTATAATTTTATTACATTTTAAGTGCATGAGTAAACTATTTGTACTTGCTGCTGATATATATAATTATAATAATAAATGGTAGTCTCCCCGAAGGTAGGTTCATGGTGTGAGAGCACCACAAATCAATGATTTCCTTGTGCTCCCTTGTTTATTATTCCCATTACCATTTCATTACTATTCATTTTTATGCAGTTTTTTTTCTCAAATTTCTGCTTCCATGCTTCCTGGTCCTGTGCTTCGGCTTTCAGTTCCCTGTATTTTCTCTACTCGCGTCATCAATCATGTGCATTATTCTTCTTCCTAGACTTTTTAGTTTCTCTATTTTATCTTCGATGACGGCGTGTAGGAGGCGCCCTTTTTGAAAAATGGGTTCGATTCAGTTTCCATTTCTTTCCATGATCGTGTTAAATAGTTTTTTTTTTATCTGTCCAATTTATCTTCTTCATTTGCCTCCAGCAACACATTTCAAAGCTTAAGCATTTATCGGCCTTTTGCTGGTCTTTCGTCGGTCTTTGATCCGTACAAAGCAATTCTCCCTGTGTCTTTAGTAAAATATACCAATACGTTTACTTTCTTCATAATATATTATTAACAAATAAAATGTTCAAACTAAAACGCAAAAGTGGTTCCATCGCTAAAAACTTGAAATTCATTTCAAAGCAAAACTGCAGTCGCGGAGTTCTATTCATCCGATATGATGTGAAATTTATGAATGGATTCCGATTATAACCTGTATGTTCTATAGTTAGTAACAAATAAAAAAAGTATATTTTTTGGAAAGTCTTGTTGAGATAAAATGAGGCTGAAGCAATTTTAGTTATAAATATTTATGGAATTTGAACCACGGAGTTTTGAAAACAATGAATTTTTACGAACATCATGTGGGGGCTATTTAAATTTCAGTTACCGTAATTTATAAATTAATAAGATAATAGAGATTCGACATAACTTAATTAAAATTAAGTTTCAATATTTTAAACTTTATATATGTACTAATTATCTTAGTTGATTAAAAATTCTAAACGAGTAACTGTATGAGCAAAATATGTATTAGAAGCTTTGTCTTTCGTGCAAACAACTGTATATATAAGACATGTGCTCTAACATAATTATTTTCTGTTCATATTTTGTCATCGTGAAACAAACTTCAAGCTTATTATAATTGGCTTTTTAGTAGTTAAAATATTTAATGATGTAAAACATGTTTTAAAGCTGCATTCATTACGAATCTCATTAAGACAAGTACGACAACTCGTGTTCATAAGTTTCAATTATCAGTACTTAAAATATATATGATTTTAAAATAGCTTCTGAAGAATGTTATAACGACATTTCAATAATTATTGAGTTCATATTTGACAATTTTCCACCATAGATGATAAAACGAAATATTCATTGTCAAATAATACTAAATTTTCGATATAAGTTGTTGCGAGTTATGAGTACTCAGATTTTAATTTTTTGTTGAAATAATATGTGACAATATCGTTGTATGGAATTAATACCAAGCAGTTTCTGTCAATTTATTTTTGCAACTTTACTCGTATTTTATTCTGAAATTACGCTATTTTTAAAAATATTATTTATTAAAACTTTTCAAAATATTAATAACTATAAGTATCCTGTTCTACTTAATCTATTGCGTTTTGTCTAATAATACCGTAACAAAGTAACATTACTTTTTATTGTCTTCGTTTACTTCGCCGTAGCATCTTGGGAATATATGTTAAATCTTTGACTAATTTTGAACGTGTGCACATTAATTCAAAAAGCTATTTGCATATTATTCTATAATATGTTTCCAACTTCAAGCCATGTCATAATTTGCAAGAAATGATACAATTGTTAGCTTACGTATTTTGCTTGGTGGATTATGAATTCTTTTGCAAAACTACACCTTATGGATTAATACTATTTTGAACATAATAAATAATTAACCTTTTGTTAGTGTTTTTCACTTTTATACATATTTAGTATCGTTTAACTAGTTAATTCATCAAGTTCGCTTGGTTGTTTGAAGTCACAAAGGGTATGGGCGCATTGCCATACAGAATCGGCCCCACCCTGGTATTTAAATAATTTATACGCCATTTTATAGGTCTATTTGATAAAAACCGATATACCAATTTTCAACTTTGTACCTCATCTTATGGCCGAGATATCATTGAAAATATGCCAAAGTGGCCCCTTCTTTCAAACTCACTTTTTGGCGTAACCATAAAAGATATTGAAAAATTTTTTGCGTTATTCTACTCACATTGACTCAGACCACATTATGTAAAACAATCGATTCCAAAAAATCGTTTACTATTAGCTGAAAAAGACAAAATAATTTTTCAATTGATTATTTCGGGTAGTGCATTTATTTGGACCACTTTCTGATTAGCGTTATTCGAAAGCCTATTGTTTTTTCTTTGAGTACTGCAAATATTGTTCAAATCAATTTTGTGGAACACATTGGAAAATTGAAAAGAACAGAGCCAGTACACCCGCGCGTAGTGCTAGTAGTACCCTGCAATTGCATAGAGTTCGTTCGGACGCAAAGCAGTGCGCGATACGCCGAAACGATTCTTAAGAAATTGTGAATGCGAAAATATTTTATTTTATAGTTATATGATATGTATACATATAAATTAATGATATAATGAAACATTGTAGTTTCAACAAACCCAAAAAACATTTTTTTTGAATGATAGTTGTAACATTGTGACAATAAAGCCCTTATTGTGACCATTCTTTATCAGTACTACATATTTCACAGTCATTTTATGTAAATATATACCTCTAATAAAATATAGCCGAATGATATAGTGAATCATATATGGCAAATTTAGGGTATATGAAGTTCTCATTATGTACAAATAAGTTCCAAGTTAAGAAGGTATCTAGAGTTTTTCCAAATTTATATCATGGTGCATTAAAATTTAAGTACAACCTACAGAATAACAGCTTTTATAAGATTCTGATTTTTTATTATTTACATTAAAAACTAAAAGTATATATATATATATATATATATATATATATATATCTGTGTGTGTAATGCATATGTATTTTCAACTGAATTTTATAGTCTGTTAACTCCTAATGACACTCAAGAACGAAATACTTAAAAGATTTAAGGTTATTGACACAATCTTGACGCACTTGTTCCAAATCATTATATTTAGCTCCAAGCGTTCACTTTAATTATCAATAAATTATTGGCACATGTTAAAAATATTAAATGTTGATTCAGAGTTTTTGGTTTTTATATTCTTACTTTACGAAGAATGTTAACATATTGTGAAATAATTTAATTAGTTAGATTACAGATTTTGACAGTTTTTTGTATATTTGTATAGGAAAATAAATAGCAAATTAAAATAACTAAACAAATCAGAATGAAATGGTAACAATTATTATACATACTGCACATTCTTCATACACTATTTTGGAAAATGTTTTTTTTTGGAATCGGTCCTCATTATCATAAATGTGTTTTTTGCACCGATACACACTGATAGTAATTATATTTATAATTTCGCGGATCTATATTCGGATTTACTGAATTCGATTTATACACGAAATTTACGTATAGTATGGATAAAACCAAATATACTATTTTATTCTCAATCAACAGTTGATGAGGGTATGCTTTGATGTTTTCTCCAAATTAGAAATTCACTAGAAACAATCAAAGATTATATTCTGCATTTACTATTTTATACATTGCAGGCCATCTAAATTTTAAATTGCTATACGATGATCGTATTTCTTTAGCGTATTATTGATTTTAGAAGCAAAAATACATTCGTGAGTGTGAATATAACCAAATATTGAGCGCATGTTATATGTTAGTTAGATTAGGATTCAGGTCGTAGTCTACAATTCAAGGATAAACATTAAAAATTAATGTTTGACCGCAACTTTCCAAACTGCACCGTAAACTATTTGTACAATGTCAAAAGTGGTTTTCATATCGGAAATAGTTGAAAATACATTTTTAAGACTACAAAGAAATCTAATGTGTTTCAAGCGTAATTAATTATTGACATGAACTTGCTCTCTAATTCGATTCCGAGTCCGTTTTAGAAATTATTATTTTCAAAATTATGCTCGATATTTTACTCTGGAATTAATAACATAATACCATAGTAATGGTTTTTTGCTGAATATTTGACACTATAATTAGAAATTTATTTGTGTATTGTAAAATAATCTAATATAAATTAATATATTAATATACGATAGTTGCACATGTTTCATATACTATCAAAAAATCGAGAAATTCGAAATAACCTAATATATGAAACCTTATCATAGAAAATGTCGATCAAAGAAATCGTCAACAAATATTATTGCACAAATCGACATTATATATTTTATTTAGGTAGGGTTATCAACTATGTCAATTTAATAAAGCGTTAGAAAAACGCAGAAAACTTTTGCTTTATATGTTACATGGAATATAACTGAGCATTTTATGAAAAAAACGCCGAAAACTTTTTGCTTCCCATATTACTTGAAATAAATCTGACAGTCTTCTTTTGTTATTGTAAAGGTTATATAGACTCACACATCTGACTTGCGTTCGATTTATATATCTAGTTACACATATATATTTAACACATATATATAATCCTTATGAAGATTAAATAATTCACAACAACAAAAAATGACGATTTGCATATTAGATATAGAAAATCCGTGCTTTTCGCAAGGCTTATCATATATTGCATGATCGAGGTTTAGTAAGCCACCAACTTTGTTTGATTTTGTACATATGAGACTTCTTGACCAGTTATTTTAGTGATGAGATAGACAAATATTATTTCGCCTGTTCACTTTTTCCACCGTATATTCAAAACGGCTTGATCTGTTTTTCCAAAAA